CCGCCTTCAAAGGGGGGGGGAGTATGTAAAAGGAGGGAGTTATGTAGCACACTCGAAACAGTAAAAAAAACGAGAACAACCACTGACCTTATTAGCTTTCACCGTTTTGCCGCCAAGTTGAGAAATGTAGGAGAAATAGGACGAAACGGATAAATTGTAAAAGACGGAACGGCGTTGACGTATTTTGGGCCCAAAGGCTCGTGAAATGACTGGTCACTGTTAATAACTGAAAACAATAAACTCTAAATAAAACACAACATTTACCTGCTATAAAAGCGGCAAAAAAAAGTCCATGGGCGTCAAAGAAGAAAAAGTCCTTATTAGCTTTTGGTACAACAAGTAATAACGCTGATCGATCACAGGAATCTACAGGTCCTCACGGTGGCCTAATTGGCTGAGCACCATTTGGCACCCCATAGAACATCAAAATTCAAAAAATTCAACACGAGAGCTTATGTACCTATCTCAAATACTCGGGTAAAAAGGGCTACCTTTCAGCTATGATGAGATCGTTTGGCATCACTGCTAGCACACTTTCCCTCAGATGGGCAACCGAATTCGCCGTGTTCAAAGCTTTCCACAATCCATCCAAAGCCGCGTCGGACACGTTATCGCCGAGAAGCACCTAGTAGGAGAGTCAATCAGTACTAGAGGCAAAAAAGAAGCAGTATAAAAAGTAACAGATACGACATTTGCCCCTAGGTTCAGTAACAGCCGCATCAATCACCCAAATAGATAATGGATTTCATGAACTCACTCGATAATTCTTAGAAAATAGCAGCCTATCCTTTTCGTTATCGGCAGTTTCAGCCGAATTAAACGCCCAATCACCTAGTTTACGATGGGCTTTACCAAGAGTAGGAGCGACTTCTGTGGCAACAGCTAGGAGACTCCCGACCAGGTCACAACCCATCATCTCACGACCAGTTGCTTCCAGTCGCATCTGAAAAATTAAAAATAGCATCCAAGGAGAAGCGAAGTGTTCAGAAGCCCTTACCCATAGGCGAGACTGACGGCACTCAGGAGGGATTGCCGAGACTAACTGTGGACTATCGACGAGCCAATTTGAGAGACGTAGGCAAGTGCGGGACATCTCTTCCCCGAGAGCCGTAGAAGATGCTGGTGATAAAATGCCGACATTTGGCGGAGGTACACCGTATGGAACTGAAAAATGCTTATTGAAACCTTTTTGAACAGTTATCATTATTATGTGATTATTTCTAAGCTTACTCTATAGCCAGAAATGATCTTTAAAGGCCAAGCCTTACCTGCTATAGGACCAAATCCATTCACAAAACCATTCATGCCTTCAAACGGTGGTGGAACTTCCTAAAAATAATGTGGAGGTCAGAGGGTAAAAATACACATACAGTCCTGTTTGCTACGGATGCAGGAGCGTATAGCAGGGCTGGTTTTGGCCGGCGCCATCCCGTCCGCCACCAATTGTTGAAGAGAGCAGGCGACAACAAGTGGTGGAGAGCGGGCTGGCGCCGAGCTAAACGCAGCTCCCCCCCCCTGAGACACACAGTATCCGCAGCGAAAAGATTCATAAACCTCTTCAACATACCATATTTACGTTGGCAGCGATAACTTGATAGGAATGGCACATCATTTCATAGCCTCCTTGAAGTGTTGCGAATACAGTCACAAAACTTCGAGCCCGTTGTTCCGGTGATGCGATTTCCCACATCTGGAATAGAATCTCTCTGAATGATGGCTGGGTCATTAGGTTGCAAATATGGTGCCTTCCTAATGGCGGCAGAAGCCGTCAAATTCGTAGAGCACTTTTTAAATGGCAGGAATTGAGTTAATTTGAAAAATTACGAGGCTAACCGAAATCCTAGAGATTTTTCTACTCCGCACAGTACCCACAAATAATAAATACTCAAAAAGTAACACTGCGGTCACACTTTGCGGATAAGAAAGGTCCGCAAAAAGGGAGAATTCGGGATTTGAGAAAATGAGCTAAACGGAGAGTGAACGCAACGATCTAGAGTCTCCACGATTACTAAAATACGGGGCCAGGGAGAATTGGCATCACTCGATCCCCATCTTATTGATTGTCGCTGGTTCTCCCAAGTCGCACATTCTGCACATTAAGGCCGGGTTCATACTTTGCGACTGTGGAGATCCGTTGACTTGGGACATTGCGCGACGTGGGAAGCATAGGCTTGGCGAGTGTAGATTGAGCGCTACGGCGATTTGGGAGACTTAGCATTGCCGGCAATTGCGCGCTAAAGGAATGGACGAGTATGCGTCAGCGCCGATCGCTGAAACACCAGATCGGCCAATGTCCCAAAACGCAGCAATAGCTCTCCCCAAATTGTCGGATCACCGAATCTCCCCAATCGCTAACGACCGGCGCCGATCGATACCCATCCTTTCCTTTGGCGTGGAGTAGCCGGAAAAAGCGGAATCGCTGGATCGCTTAATCTCTACAGTCGCCAAATCGATATCTATGCTTTCTTCGTCGCGCAATCTCTCAAATCACCCAGTCTCCCAAATCGGCCGAATCTTCTTAGTCGAAACGCATGAACGTGGCTTGGAAGGGAAAACAGCGCCACAAGACCTCCAAAGAAACGTACCATTTTCGTTCCTTGTACTGCGACCTTTAAGCTGTTCAGTACTGGACTGTTATTGATGAGCACTGGATTGTTACTGGCTTTGTGCAGATGAACACCAGCCAACATCGGATTGCCTGTCTTTCTAGCCAATTTAGCCAACGGCAGATGCAGATGTGCAGGACTTGAGCCTGTAAAGAGCAGTTGTTACACCAGTACGCATGTAGTGGATAATCAGAAAAAGCTATTCGAGGTACTCACATCCAAGTCTCTCTGCCCACAACGCCAGTTGCCTACCAAGGCGAAGACGTTCACCAGCATCATAAGTTTCCCCATTTTCTACAAGGAACGATGCTGCTAAATCTGACAGGACTGCCTAAAAACTAGTTGGTAAATCATTTTTGCATTACAAAATAGCATGGCGCTGATGTGTCACAGGTATATGGTCCACTTCTTGCCCATCAAGAGGTGGATGAGGTGTCATTGACGTCACACCACATGTCAACATGTCTTGAGACGTCATTGACAATGACATAATTCGACTTTTCCCGTCACTTGACCGTGTTAGGCCGCGTTCATACTCGAGCGTGGTCAGTCGTAGTCGCGCAACTCTGAATCGCTCAATTCGTGGAGTATAAACGCGGCCTTAGCTTTACGACATCTGCTACTTGTTAAGAGGAAATGGACCTGCTACACCTGCGCTAAAAGTGGTTTCAAATAACATACCGCATTCAGTTCAGAGTCGATCTGTCCTTTTCTGCCCATTTTGCGCAGAACACATCCAGCTATATGATTTAACGCCGCCAATCTGCCATGAAGCCGTTGTCCTCCATCCGTCATCAGGACCAAACGGGCCGTGTTCGCGACATTTTCACGCATGCTCGCTACT